CGGAGGTCGCGAAAACGCTGCGGGGGGGCATTTCGGGCCATCCGCAGCCATTAAAATGGCTCCAAAATGGCCGCCGGACGCGAAAACATCGCTGGAGGGGTAAGTTTACACACTTATTGGAACGCATTAAACTAAGTTTAATGCATTCCAATAGGTTTTCCTGCCCCGCACAGCGATGTTTTCGTATAGCGAAGGTTAATCCGGAACGGATTAACCTCGCTATACGGGGCACCACTGTACATGCTGCATCATTCTAAGAAAAAAGCCAAATGGAAATCTTTGTCATGGAAACAGGAGGAGACAGGAGGGGGATTTTTGTTCATTTTTCTCTTAAAGGTCCAGTCAAGAGCCTGTTGAGAAAAACAAACAAAAATTCCTCTCATTGCTCCCTCCTGTGTCCTCCAGTTTCTATGACAAAGTTTTCAACGTGGCTGTTATTTTTTTAAAAAGTGATGCAGCACATATACACTTAGTTTTTTCTTCACTTCGTTGGCGCCTTCATGGAGCCAAAGAAGCATTTAATTTGCCAATATCCTGGAGTGACTCTCTTCTTATGCCACTTCACAATATTCAATTCAAACAAGAGTGCTCACTTTTGGTTTGTTTCCAGCAATCACGTGTGCTGGAAACAAACCAAAATAGAGCAATTATACCTGCACGCACTCTGAGGGCAGGCTAGTTAGTTCCAGCAATGTTGTCATTTAATCACCGTTTTTAGGAGCAAACCAGCCCATCTCTGTGCTGGATCAAACAGTGGGCTAAATGGCTATGTAGCCATCCTCTCAATTACTGACAACACTCATTTGTTGAACCAGCACTAAGAAAACTTCTATGGTGGATACTTAGGGCCAGTTCACACGTCTGTGTTCATCACATCATGACCAGAGTACAAAATAATGATTTGCATGTTTAAATGAATGATGACAAGCCCATAACCATACCATAGAACTTCACTATTATTCTAACACATTGCTTTCAACAAAGCCAGTTCATACATTCCATTGAGTGTCACCATATGTAGAATAAAAAGCAATGTATTAGAGATGTGTGAATCAGCCCTTTTTGGTTACAGTCTATCTACCTGTCAATACTGTAGTGTCTACTATGTCTTCTCTGTTTAATATGGATTGTTTTTTTCTACCTGGTTGTTCACCAGGACAA